AGGTAACTTCCAGGACTTGCCGCCCCCCCGCCCCCTCCCCCCCCTAAAGTTTATAAACCACAGCAAAGCTTATAAACCCAAATAGTTTGAAACAATACTGTTATCTTATGTTATCTCAGGTTTTTGCATAAAGCATAGCAGCGTTTAAGGTGTTGCCACGGACCTGAATTATACGAAGCTGCTTCAATATATCTATCAGGTAATTGTATAATGGTAATTATAAGAAGCTGTAATATAATGTCTATTTTCTCTATATTCAGAAACCCAGGCCCCAGCGCGACACCTCCTGAATCCTAAACCCTAAAGGCCCTAAAGGCCGAGATCTGATTAGGCCATTAGGCCCCTTTAAAAGGGGTATATAGGGATATGTAGGGTTTCGGAGTTTCGGATTTAGGGTTTAGGGATATTAGTCCCAATAATAGAGAAGCACATGGAAAAGAACATGCAAAATGAAATAGAACATTAAATGGAAACAGTGATTTTGTAGGGGTTTCCAGGTTGGATACTGTTTATCCTGCATGACTGTAAGCTCTTCATTCCTTGGGAAGCCTGGTAGTACAGTAGACTATTCTCATAAGGAATTTTTGTATCAAGAGTGTTATGCTTCTATTTCTGTGCTATAGTCATTCTGTAACAGGAATGTAGCATTGGGCCATGGAGGTCGATTGTAGCGCATCTTGCAAACAACCATGCCAAGCAATCCCCAACAGAAGGACAGGATCTCGAAGATCCATGTCCCGACTTCAAGCCTTGACAATCGAATCCGGCCTTCACACTTCCTACATCCTCAACTTCTCACTCAATCCTGATCCCCAGATCACGTGATTTCTATGCCCCTGTAGTCTGGGAATCCGATTACCTAAAAAGCACGGGACTTTCTCACCCCGCGCATCGGTTATGACAAAGAGCACAAGCTTCAAGAACCACATCCCGCCCCACCATTGATGAAGGTACCGCAAATCTTTAGGGAGCCATAAAACCCCTGAAGCACGCCTGAACCTTGCACCCCGCTGGCCTTCAGGTATGAAGGCAGCAGCGTCCCAGGAGATTTGAACTTGCAGCTCGGTCAGTTGCCTCCCAGAAATGATGTGACAGAACTTTGGGGGACTAGGACGACTTTGACCTACAGTCTAAACTCCTTAAAGGGGTTACATAGGGCATGATATAGGGAGAATTTTAGGGGCTATATTAGGGGGATGCTAGGAGTTTAGACTATAGCTCATGTCAACCTAAGCCTTCAAATCTTGTGGTAGGGTTTGTCCTGCAACTGCCTGTAGTTTAAATGCTTGTCAAGGTCTGCTAAGAAAAGGCAAGGCGTGCGATTTAGGACTTAGGTCCGGAGTGTTTGGGTCAGGGCTTAGGGTGTCGGTGTAGGGTTCAAGGTTTTGGGAGCTTTGGGTTCGGGGGTGGCCCAGTGTCTTCTGGCTATAAGATAGCTCGAGATGTCGAGCTCGGGCTAGCAAAGATGTAAATCTGCTCCACAATCATGATCATTCATGATCCAAGCTACCTGCAAGATTATACACCAGGCGGTTCTGCATTTGGCTGCCCGAACATAACGACGGTTTGTGGGTGAGACGGTGAAACTGGCGTGCACGGGGGCGCACGGGTGCTACTCCTGCTCGCGAGGATGCAGTCTGCAACTCTCAGGGTATAATGTAGGGTAATATAGGGTTAATATTGGGATAATGGGACAGAAAGTGGGATAATGGAACAGAAAATAGAAACTACAGGGATTATGGGGGTTATACTCTCAACTTCAAACGGCGCCTGCTGCAGTAGATCAACCCGCCACACATCCTGGTAGATCCCAAATACAGGTACCCACAAATTCCGGCAGACTTGCGCCTATGAACCCTTTGCCCACAAAAAGAAAACTCACACCCAACATCTTGAAGTCTACAAATCCTAGCAAGCTTGCCCTCACCCAAACAAACATGGAAGCCAATATAGACCATATAGACCCCCTTCAAAAAGGGGCAGTAGCTTTCTTAGGGAAACTCTGCCTTCCCCCCCCCCCCTCCCCCCCCTCTACGGCACCTGGCAGTTAGGCGCCCGTTGGCTCCTGGCCGCGGGAAAGCGCCAATGTCTGCCAATATGGTGAGCGTATATGCCTGAGAGGAGGGTTAGGGTTGTATGGGTACTGGCAACTAGAATGGAGGCCAGTTTAAGGCCTGCAGGAAGGGAAGCGAACATGGAAGCTCCTTTATTGTTCAAGGGCTGAAGGAAGAAAACAAGAATGGAATGACAGGCTCTCGGGGTTTAGGTTTCTGGGTTTAGGGCTGTGGGGAATGGAGGAATGGATGCCTTTGCCAGTCCCCACAGTCGTTCCAGGTACTTCCCAATAGAAGTCCCGGTATTCCATTCCTTGATTGTCTAGTAATTGCAAGCCCTAAGCCCTGTTGAACATGATGGTTTCCATGTTCTTTTCCATCCCCAAACCCTAAAGCCTATTAACCCCTTGGAGCTATGCGCTCGGGGCTGCTTTAGGCCTCAGGTAGTGGGATTTAGGACTCTAGGGCTGCAGGTTTGGGTGGTGTCAGAGCTAAAGCTATGGTTTCAGGGCTGAGGGCTTAGTGCTGAAGTGAAGGGGCAAACTGCACTTATCAGATTCAACCGAAGGTTATCTATTTCATTGTACATCTGTATACACAGAGATGCATACTACAAGTAACATCAAGTTATCATCATATCCTCAGGGACGTGGGACCCTCATCCCAGTAGAGATTTTGAGGAGTTGGGAGGAACGCCTTGCGGCGTTGCGATGATACAGGTGCGTACTGCACAGCCAGTTCAAATCAACCTCCGGCTCATATAGGCAGAATATTAGTAATAACAGTAGCGGTAGTTAAAGCAGTAATTACGAGTAATATTCTTAATTGTGATAATGGTAGTCCGTGAAGCAAGTCTCTGAACTCACCACCTTGAAGAGCTGCCAAGGTACAGAGTTCTCAGGGGAGTAGACAGAAATGAAGTGCCTGGCATGTAGCCCGGATACCAGGCTCTGCATCAACTTTGACATGTTCTAGCTCAGGATCTCCATAAGGATCTTGCGAGATCTATAAAGTCTTAGCTTAAGACCTTTGCTAATGGATCAAGCTTTTGAAGGGTGCCGGCATCCAACCTCAGATGCACTGGGATCCTCAAACATGGGAGTAAAGCTGTACTTGGAAGTACAATATAATGCTTTATATTACTACTATTATTAGTACTGTTGTTGTTGTTGCTATTGTTGAGGAAGCAAAGCAAAAAGTGGCCATGTCAAGATTTACCCATCATGACCCTACTTCCAACCATGCCCTTAACTACCAATCAGCAACCCCACTTCAGACGCACAGCAATCCCCCGTTAACATCAGTTTGTTTGTTACTGTCACGGTTACTACTACCATCATGGGCCTAGTAAGCCTACTATTGCTGATGCTACTATCATGGGGCACTGTCCTGTACCATTGTAAAACAACCTACTCATTTTAGAGCTGAGCTGGAATTCAAGAAAACGATGTTGCCAATGCGGTGGAAATTTCGAAAGGCCTCATGCATCATTTTCTCTCCCATTATTGCAAAACCTACAGTAAGCTGCGCATCTGTGCAAAGAATCCTTACTCCCCCCCCATCCCCCTGGCTGCCAGCTTACGGTTGGACATTTGCTTAACCAGATCCTACACCGTGGCCGGATACTTGCCAAATCTTCCTCCTGCATCAGGCTTTGAACCCGGAGGCTGAGACATGCCCCATGGGAACAACAAGGGAGTTTCCTTAAATGGGAGGACCCCAACATGGAACCTGAAATGCTAGAATCTCCAAGTACCAAATGAGACTTCGAGGCAGAAGATGCGACTTAAATTATGCACGAACACTTCAAAAGAGGGGGGGCGGGTGGCCCATTACACTCCTTGCCCATGTGCCACAAAGCTGAATCCTCAAAGCCCCTGAACCCTTAACGCTAAACACCTAAACCCTAACCCCCAAACCATCTGGTGTAGGTACACCCTAAACCCGAACCCTCAAAACCTGTGTGGCTTTTCAAGCGATGATCTTAGATCGATAGTCTGGCTCGCTTGCGTCTTGCATCTCCATCCAGCAAATGCACCTTGGTCAAGGCCCCATGGGAACAACAGGGGTTTAGGGGTAGGGTTTAGGGTTGAGGGCCCATGGGAACAACAAGGGAGTTTCCATAAATGGGAGGACTTCACAAAGTCTTCTGTGCATGGACGCTTGCCGGTATTTTTTTCGAGAAAAAAACACGTTCTCAACAAACTTCACTCATCTGTGCCACAGTCTAAACTCCTAGTATCCCCTGAATAACGTCTTTAATGGTAGTCCCCTCTATAGTACATGATATGAACCCATTTAAGGAGTTTGGATTATGGCTCATCTTTGGCGCGGGCGGGGCTTCATTGTATTGTTTCCGCCGCTTGCTGCGTGGCATTGGCTGCTGAGTGATTCAGGTGACGTAGGCAATCCAAAGCCACAAAAACGGAAGAACTCTTCAAGGTCCAACCTCCCGATCTGAATCCCCAATCCCCAAAATCCTACATGGACACCCCGAAAAGCCTGAAGGATAGAGCCCAGGCGCTACATCAAGGTGGCCGTGTCGAGCCGCAACTTGACAAGGTCTCAGTTGCTCAGGAAATCCTACTGTCCTACTGCATCTCATGCTACAACCCAGCTAGAAAACTTCAAAGCAATTACTGCAGAAAGCTAACTTCTTCCAGAAGGAACCCAAAGCTAGATCTTTGCAAGCATGACCAAGTTGGCCGCTCAGAATCACGGCCAGTGGCGGGACAAGTTTTTTGGGTCACTTCACTTTTGACACCTCGCATCGCAAACATTACAGACACTGCGTTCTGGATAAGGCTGGATAAGGGACACCTGACATTTATGAATGCTGCACTGGCAAGAGTATTCCAAATGCTCATACCCTCCCAACTGAAACCTGGACTTTTGATCTGAACAGATCGAGAAGCGTTTCGCCGTCTGCGTTTCGGCTGTTCTTATCAGCACCAGCAAGGACGAGCAGCTTCACAACATCTCCGTGGTTGCAATCGCAAGCTACCTCCAAAGGCGTTTTGCCAACTGCATTTCTTGCCTCGTGATCTGCAGAGCTGAGCAAAAGAGTTGACACAATCCCACTGTCGCCGGCAAAAGTGGCAACTATAAGCGGTGTCTCCCCATAACCGCTCCTTGCCTCCTTGTCGGCCCCCGCTGCAACAAGCGTCAGGACCATCCGATGAAACCCAAGGAGACATGCCAACAGGAGGGGCGAGTTTCCGTGAGAATCTTTGCCATCCTTGTCTGCCCTAAACATGAGAAGCAGCTGCAGCAGCTCTGTGCTGTTGGCTCGCACCGCTAGATGCAGCGCTGTTGTGTCATCACCATGACGCTCAGCGGAAGGATCTTGTCCCGAAGCAGGGATTCTATCGCCAGCTTCTAACAACGTTCGCACCATTCCCATGTGGCCCGCACACGTGGCGAGGTAGAGTGGGAAAACACCTTCTTCAGACGGCTTGTTCACGTCAGCACCTGCTTCTACAAGCAGCTGCACCATCTCAAAGTGCTTGCTTAGACACGCGCACATCAGGGGAGGATCCCCCCAAGCATCGCCTGCCTCAATGTCAGCCCTGGCAGATAGCAACAAGACCGCTATTTTCAGGCAACCCGCCGCGCAGGCTGCAGGCAAAGGCAACTCAACATGTATGTTTCTACATACTTTGCAGTGACCATCATGAGTGCCGACATCTGCGTTAGCCTCGAGCAGCAGACGTACAATGTCCTCGTGACCATGCTTGGACGCAGAAAACAGTGGTGTGGCCCCGCTGGCAGTAGCATGATCCGGATCAGCTCGCGCTTCCAGCAGCAAGCGCGCAACTTCCAAGTGGCCACCCTTGGATGCTGAGTGTAGCGGCACGTTGGTCCCGTGATCCTCCTGCTGGTCTTGCGTAATAACGTCTGGGTCTTGTGGTAACTGCAGAAGTGCCTCAACCTGAGACAAGAAGCCGCGGGCAGAAGCCTCCACTAGCTCCCTGGCCTTCTGGTAGTCATCAGACAAGGGCAGCAGTAGCAAGTGCAGGTCCATGGGTGTCGCCAATACAATGTCATCCTCCAAAGCGACACCGTCATACAGAAGCCTCTGCCTGAACCGAGGCAGCCCGCAGAGGCTCTCTAGACGTTGCTTCAGGGCGCGCACTTTCTCAACACTGCTGAGGTCTTCGGTGGTGAAAGCAGCCAGCTCGGTACCTGAGGCGAGATAAACGCGGAGCATGTCTCGCGAGGAAGAGTCCATGCCATAATGCTGAGTCCTGACCAGCTAGGGTCAATCTGCTGCTTGAGCATCTGTCCACCACTGCGTGCGTTTTCTTTAAGGGACACTTTCCAAGCTATGGGTCCGCTAAGGCAAGGCTCAGCCACCCGAGTCATACACAGGCAGTGCAACCAGTCAGAATCAGAGGAAAACAACTACGCAGACACTGGGCAAGAGGGAGATCCAAGGGGATCAAGTGAGTACGAGAGACCTTGACAAGATCAACAGGAAGTAGAGGATACCCTACAGAACTACAATTGTCGGCACAGCTTGTTGGCTTATGAGGCCATGTGGCATTTGGGGGGTGATGACGTTTTTAGTCATGCACGTGCAGAATCTTAAATGATGCGGAATGCGAGGGCTAGCATCATTTCCAATCTGGCACACCAAACCTTGAAGTGCGCCTTGCCAAAGACTGCTGATCTCAATGACAGCCAAGCACTATACTTCAACTGCTGGGAGCACATGATCCCATGCTGCCAGAATCCCAACTCCCAACGCTCTTTCCCTGCGCTCTCAAGTTCCACATGACAGTCTGGACAGGGCAACAGAACCGCGCTAAGACTCATATCCCAGAGCCATCTGCTGACACCGCGCAGTTTGCGAAAGTAACACATGTCGGAGGCCGCTTAGTGGAAGACAGCGGCACTTCGAAGAAGGTCGGCGAACCATCCCGGCTCCCATCAATTTCTGACCTCCGGCTGAGGTGAGTGGGCTGAGGGAGACAACACGCATAACTCCGGGCTACTACTGTACGAGCTCAAAAGACACCAGTGTATGCCTTCTTTTCGTGTGAAGCAATTCCTGCATGGCGCCAGAGAACATGACGTTCATCTCAACCGATACATGACCCCGTGATGATTCTGATAGCCATGCACTTAGCGCCAGGAAGAGGATCTGCAAGCAGCAACGGCATCTCAGTTCGTCGCAGAAAATGCGTCCATTCGCACAAGGATGCCTTAGGCAATCGCAGGTTCACATGACGCTGCAGTAAAAAGTGGCCCCAAAATCCACCATCTTGCCTACAACAAGAAGGGAAGCAAAACGCCTCAATCTGTCTCACAACCACAGGCTTTTTGCAAGCAAGGAGAAAGCTTCTGCAGCACGTCCTAAATCATGAACTTCAATGTTTGGCATGTCATACCTAAGCATCCCCGGCCCTCTGCACCTGAAATCTTGCGGTCGTTTCTGACATTATTAATTATTGGGATTGTTACTATTACTATTCTTACCAGCCCCCACCCTGCATATAGTGCTATGTTACGCTATACCCTGAGGAACGATCCTGCCTGCAACCGTTATAGAGAGGGAACAGTCTCACAACACCACATTCCCTAAACTAGATAAATCCTAACCCCGAAAGCCTGAACCCGAGACCCCAAGCCTATAACCCTTTGTAAACTCAAAACCCAATGTAAAGCTCCCAAACCCGGTAAATCCCTAGAACCTCCCAGCTTTCATTTGATTGTCTGCTCTTTTTTACCTTCATAACCCAGTAAATAGTATCAAGCACATGCACTCCATAACATTGATATGCTCCGTCAAACCATACATGGGGGTTTGCTAAAAATAGGGGTCCGTTTTTGGGGCCGTTTTTGGGGGTCCCTATCATAAGGATTACCACCACATACCCTGCATAGGTCGATGTACCCCATTAACTCGCATATACCTTTTGTACCTTCGGTGTAAAAAGACTCTAATGAGGACCCCATAGGCAAACCAGAAGAATATGCCAGGACTGTAATAAAAATATACCTACCAGGATCCCTGTATGCCTATCATATTCCTACTATATTCTTGGGGTTCCCAATTCCCTATTTAAATCCTTTTAATGTAAAGTTCTAAGCCTTAAAACCCTATAAACCTTAAACCCGGGAAAAGCCCCTAAGTTCCAAACTTCTCTCCTCTCAAAGCCTGGTCTGGTGTCAATGCAGCCTTGGCATGGTTGAAGGGAGGTTCTCAAGATTCTATATATAGGTACACACAGGGTTTAGGGTTTAGGGTATATTTAGATGGAGTTCAATAAGGTATAAAGGATTTTCACAGGTTATACAATATAGAGAGTGTAGGGTAGCAATGATGGAGAATCAATGAAACCTCGGATGATAAAGGGATCGATAGGGTTTGGAGAACCTGGACCTAGGGAGGAACATTACGCGTCGTCTATGATGATCACCACCATGGGCTGTTGGATAAAATCTGGTTCTAATGGGGTCTTCCCTACCCAAGTTACCCAAGCATCGGGATACTCTTCCGTCCCGAGAAGCGGGTAGGGATGTGCGGGGCTTATTGGGTGTGGAGGGTTTCGAGAGTCTCGAGAGGATGACTTTGAGAAACCAATTTCGCAGTTTCTCAAGTGGTCAGAACATACCTCCGAAATCATGTAGGCGTACTTGTCACAGCCTCCAAACAAGCCCCATTACTGATGCTCAGTATGAAAATATGTTGCTACCTTTGAGAGGTTGCTGTTCAATCCGCGCTGCCAAAAGCCAACGTGGTTCAAGTCAAGTCTGGAATCATGAAGGACAGGCGCGAGCACTCAGCTTACCTTAGAACCTTGCTCTGCGCTGGCTGAGGTTCTCACTATACGGATTTGGATAGCACCTGCGGGTCTTTCTGACCTCAGGACCGCTGCACAGATCCTCAAGCAAAGAGCACAATGTGATCTCCCTTGGGGGCTTTTCATCTCATTGTTTAGCAAAATGGCAGGCATTGGCCATGCGCCCCCATTTATGTTACAGCTCCAGTGCTCTGATTTGTAAAGCTCATCTGAAGAGGGGTTGACATTGTCTCAGGGCATGGTTTCTGTTTTGGAGTCCAAGTGGCACGGGTCTGACGTTATCCCATCAAATCGGTAAGTTCAACATCCGGCACTCTCCCCACGCGCTTGCACGAACGAACGGGAGGACGACGCTCTTCGAAATGACTGCATGACAGTGTTGCGAGACAACGCGCCGGCCATCGCACCACGGCTGCCCACGTTGGCGCCGCCGTCCGTCTTGCCCCAGCCGATGTTAAACTAATCTTAAACCACCCCCGCATGTCAGATGGTCCTTGGCAAGATATTTTCTACTACATAGTTCAGCGAATCATACTGCAGGTGCTTAATCAGGCTTGCACCGTATGGCCTTTCATGAGCATGTGCAATGGCATTCATCAATCGCCCAGTCTTCCACACCCTGATTTCAGCTTGCCCTCTGGACAGCTTGAACTCTCCATGCAAATCATGACATTGCTTGCTTGGCTCATCCATGGACGATCAGTAGCTCTCCAAGTGACATAAGAAGGGTAGACAATGGTAGACATGGCGACAGGGCTCCGTCTTGAAGCATGGTTCCCGAAGCTAGGACTCTAGTAAGAATGAGAGGACTTTGTGGCCACATGCTTTCTTGTATTCGGCGCTTCGAGCAGAAAGTATCTTCAGGAGTTTGAGATCAATGCACCTCAGGCAAATAAACTACGAGACAAATCGAAGCAATTCCTACTCGGGGATGACTTTACGTCTTTATGTCTCTCCGAGTAGTGGGCCCCTGCCGCAAGGACACGTGAAGCAGTCTTCAAATTCAGATGTCCCGAGCTCCCGGCAAACAGATACACAACCCCTCGGCAAGGTTCCAGGTTGATGATGACCTGCGGCCATGCCGGTGGACTATGCGTGCACTGAACAGAGCTGTCAAGCAAAACCATGTCGGAACATTTCTCAAAACGCGCTTGGCCAAAAGCTGACTTGGACCCACCTGAAAGAATGAACGAGACAAACCACTAGTCAAACGTCTCACAGTGGACAAGATTCAAGGGCAATCCGCAAACAGCAACATGTCCTTGGCGACTTCTGTTCTGCATCTTCACAAATTAATATCATTTGCGGCTTCTTTAACATCTCTGCAAGCCAAAAAGAGTCCCGCCTTTCGATACTGATCTGGCTGATTCCTGTCGCTTTCAAAAGCGGTCTACTGAGAAGACAATTGGGAAACGTGGGTCAGGCAAGTTAGAACACAGCATGAAACTGAGCATATTACATGTGCTCTATCGTGCTGTATCAACCCTCTGCGATTTGAGTGCCGCACATCGTTATGACATCCTCATTCCTGTAGAACCACCTGTGCTCGAAGCAGCTGCGAGATGAAGCTAGGAAGGCAGATGCAATGTTATATGCTTCTAGTGGCTGTTCGGATCTTGGTAAGCACAACTTCCAGAACTAGCTTGAAGCTGCCTGTGGGTCTGGTTGGGCCGGATGTCCCTGTAGACTGTCTCACCATCTCGGATTTCCACAGCTGGCCCGACCTGAGTCCACGGGTCCGGCCAAAAGCCCAGCCAAATCGTGCACTCCAAACATGATGCTGCTGGGTGCCACGTTGGGCAGAGGAAAGCTAACAGCTAGCATGTCCAAACAGTTGCAACTCCGGGGTTAAACAAAAGGTGGCGCAGGACTTCCTCCGTCCAGGATCCCACGGGCTTCCATTTTCGCTTGCTGTGGTCGCTTGTCCAGGCTTCTCTAATGACTCGAACTAGTAACTAGCACATGAGGCTATTCAGTACTTTTCACGAAGTAGGTGTTCCAGTTATGGAGCAAACACATACGTCAGCATCATGACTCATTGATGCAGCCCAGAGGCATTGTCGTAGCTCTCGTGGTAGCAAACCGAGGACAGGTCCTCCGAGGAAAAGCAGACTTTTGAAAGCTTGCAGGAATAGCTCCCAAGATCATACGACTCTCCTCCGTGATCACACAATGTTCCAACCATTCCACCACGGCATTCTCAATGTTATACTTTCACGCAGTAATACTCGTGCTAGGTACGAATCCATATGCAACTGTTCACTAAATTTACTCGGCCTCACACTGGTTGTGACAACTGTTGACTATTGATTATTCTTGTCATGACATAGTGGGTGTCTGTCTACACGGCTACTCCTGAAGATGAATGCCAATTGCAGTTAATCCCTGTGGAAGAACAGGCCTGCGCGTTGGTGTGGGCGAGGCCCAGCAGTAGGAGGACCTCATCTTCGTCGAATCACGATTTCGAAACGACCCTATGTCACAATGAGCGGCCACTGCTTCCACCACCAGGGCGGCTGCTGCTGCGGCTGCTGCTAGGATAAAACCACCCCTGCCGCCGTCACCAGTATGACCGTCGTCACTCCTAGTCACCTTCTCCTCCTTCTCGCCACCACGGCCACCGCTGCCGGCGCCTCCTTCTCCTCTGCTCACAAAAAACTGACCGCATACATCCCGAGGGCAAGGCCAGGGTTCGGCCGCCGCTGCCTGGCAGAAGGATTTCTTGAAGGTCATTACATGGGTATAAGGGTAAGGGTTTAGGGGTAGGGATTTAGGCCTTGGAGACTTGGAGTCTGGGGCTTTGAGGTTTCCAGTTGGCTTCTTAATATTCTGATTGTTGGGGGCTGCTGGGACGACGTGGGGACCGTCGGGATAGTATAGGGACTTTGCAACGTTTGGTTGAGGGCACGTAAGGTTGTTGCCTGAGGATCTTAGATTGTGTCAGAATTGTGGATCCCCGTCTTCGGGCTGGATCGGGAATGTGCTTGGGTGATTGCACAGACTATGGGGATTAGCGCGATTGCGTAGCCTGGAACCCGTCTTGGGCCTTCGAGATCAGAGGCTGGTTTGGGCATACGAGGCTACCTGCATTTACCATATAAAAACCTAACCAGGCATCCCTACCCTGCACTGCCACCCACTGCCTCTGCCTGCTCGGTTTCCAAGCGCCATGGATGCAAGATAAGCTGGCTGCGAGATGGTGAGGAGATGACTGCGAATAGACCCTTCCTACCTCAATTCCTGGCGAACGTGCTACAGAACTCGATGCTAAGTGTCTCGGGTTCAATTGGAATTTGCAACGCTGTTGGTGTCCTTGAGCATGAAATTCTGCTGGTTGCAAACTGCGTTATACAAACGCTGTGCCAACTCTGAGCATAAAGACTTGGTAGTTTTCATAAACAGGGCGACCCCAACATAGACCCCAACATGCCGCAATCCCTATTCTGGGAACTCTTATGACAAGGATATGATTACTACCATCTTATTTGTAATTCTACGCTGTTGTTCTACTACTAGCGGTAGTCTGATAGGTAGCATTAAAAATGGAAGAGCCTAAAGTTCCTTACCTAAGGATCTGCAGCCGCCGACTTGGAAACTCCCCGATAACATCGGGCAAATGCGCAAACAAACTCCTACAACCTAAGCCTTAAACCCCCAGTATAAAACCAACAAAAATACTATAATCCTTATCATAGGGACCCCCAAAAATATGCCGTAATTGCTGGCTGGTCACCTGGCTTGGACCCTGGCATAGGGTTAGGGATGTTACCCCAAGTTGTAGGGAAAATAGAAAAGAGAATTTCAGAATGGAAGCCACAATTCAGAGTTCAGAGTGCGTTTTGTTTTTGAGTTCAGGGGTGTGGGAGTTTGTCTGATTCCTGGCACCTTCGCACTTTCGAATGGCCGGCTGGTTATACAAGAAGCTAAGTATCCGCAGTTCCGTGGGCATTTCAGTGTGACTAACGGCTGAAGTCCTAGCACTCATTTAGATCCTGCCCTGGGTCTCCAAAGTTCAGTCCTACATCTTCTTTCCTTCCTGCTTCCCCTCCTCCTGCTGCTGCTAGTCCTCCTACCACTACCACGAGTGCTACCGCTGCTGCTGCTACTACTACTACTATTACTACTACTACTACTACTACTACTCCTCCTGCTGCTGCTGCTACTACTACTATTGCTAGTGCTAGTTAGTGATACTGCTACCACCTCCGGACTCGCAGCCCCAAGCGCAAGTACTCTTTTGTCATGCTTGGGCCACGCCGCTGGAAACCGTCATGCCAGCTTGCTGCTTTTCGGCCTGACATGCTCTTCACTCCAACAGTACTGGCAGAACAATGCCTGTCTGTGCCCTTCCAGCGCTAACTCGCCACCAAAACCTTCCTATAATTGGGAGATAGCTAATTTGGTGCAAAGGTGCCGCAGTACAGACCCATGATAAAATTGGCCATACCCACGCTCACAGTATCTGAGACAGGGAAACGCTACTTCGCCTGCATGTTAGATGCCGGACCCTGCCCAGAGTTAATGTTGCACACAAAGATGGCTGCATATTGAAAAAGGGCTGTGGGAGTGCAGTACGAGGATTACGTTGCATTAATCGGGGAGGGTCTGGGGCTTTGTGTACGTTGTTGGACGCAATCTTAAACTGAGAACGAGCTGAGCTGAAGGCATTGGTATTGCTAAGGCTTATGTAACCGGCAGTGACTGCTGCCGCTGCCGCTTCTGGTGCGGTGGCGGTGGGCGCTGCTGTTTGCTGTGTTAGTCTGCGTTTTAGATCGTCATCACGACAAACACCAGGAAACGAGTGGAGGCTGACCGCCAACAAGGACTATAGGCTTAACAATGAATCCTTGCCATGGGAGCCAAGAAACATCTACTTTGCTGACATCCCTCAGGTGACCCTTAAGCGTCTGGGCAACTTCTGCCGATATTCTCTATTTTGTGAGTGCACCATGCTCAAATTTTGCCGCCTTTGGCGGTTCAATCTACCAAAGACTTGAGGAGTTGAAATGCCAAAAAGGATTTGCGCACGAGAACCAAAAAACGCGAAGCTCGAGACAGGAACGCTCTTGGGCAAAGCTCCTGTGCCTACATTCCCGCCAGAAAAGTCCATGATTGACCTGAACATGAAGATACTTTCTACAAGTAGCGGACTTCAAAGGTTTAGGCTGTAACGTCTACTATGAAATGGCATACTAGCCCTCCCTGACTAGCTACGCAAGCCGCCTGTTTGGCTGCTAAAGCTCATCGTATCTTGGGGTCTGTCTTGAGGCCACATAAGCACAACATCAAAAGAGCAAGGGAAGAGGTAGCATGTCACTCCACACTCCGAACTTGCCTCATGAGCCCCAAAATCCACAAGGACCTTAAGCTGTAAACCCTGCCCTACACTCTAAAATCTACGAAGCTCCGTCTAAAGCCTACGCCCTTACAGGTTCCTGCAACTTCTCCACCAGCTCGGGCCGATCCAGCAGATACCTCGCACATTGTTTACGAAGGATACTCTTTTCTATCCTGCATGAATTCAATGGACCATAGTACCCCATAGTGCTATAACTCCCAGGGTTCAAAGTACTCAGGGCCATGCAGGATTTTTAGGATTAAACGTAGGGCTATGTTTTCTGGTGCGGGGGACTAGGGCCTTTGCCTTTGCAGGGTTCTTGTCCGGCTGCCCTAAACTCAAAACCCGAAACCCTAACATTTTGGTGTGGTTTGGGGGCTTGGAGTTTTCAGGGAGTTGGGTGGGGTTCTGCGGGGCTGAAAAGCTTTGAGCTTTGATTAAAGGTGCCTAAGGTTTGAAGTTCAGCAGAGGCCTCAGAGGCTTTTTGTTCCGTTAGGGAGGTTTTGGGTTTTCAGAGTTTAGAACTTGCAGGACTTTTGGCGCTATTTTTATGTAGCCAGTCCGGCTTTCGGAGGCTATAAGAGCCATAGTCTAGATCTAGGTTGAGGTTTCAGCGTTCGCCTTGCACGCTTTACAATTCCCGCATCTTCCTCCAGCTATTGTTTCAAGAGTTTCTGAGATGATCACGTGCTTTCCTACAGATTCAGGGTTCGGGTTTTAGGGTTTAGGGGCTTTGGTGATGCCCCCAAACTCCGAAACATGAGGACCTCATGACTATAACATGACTCCTATAGAGGAGCCGTGGGAGCTAGAAAGTCCCCCCCCCATACTAAACCCGAGCCCCCAACAACTATGATCCCTTCCCCCTCTTAGTATCAAACCCACCCACCCCGCCTCATATGAAATATTCCCAATATATGATAATATACCACATAATGGGAATATTCAATATTACGGGGGGTGGGGGGGTTTAATATTGGGAGGAGCAGATGAGTAATGATCCCTAACGCCAAGGAGCTGAGTCCAGGCAGCACGCCAATTAGAGTGGACCTGAGGCAGGATCTTGGGAACCAAAACGGAGACTACCTGCGTTTTATCAACTCCAACCCTAAACCCTAAATCCTGAACCCTAAACCTTAACTGAACCCTCAACCCCGAACCCTCAACCCTCGACCCATGAAGTCATGGGGTTTCATTGCCACCTCTGAAGCAAGCTGTTGGGGGCTGGGCGGCTCCTAGCTTGGAAATGTTTTTTCCTCAAATCTGCGTCCCATTTTGGTACCCCTAAATGGTAGTTTCCCAAAACAGGGGGACCCACAATATAGACCCTAATATACATAATCCTTATTATAGGAACCCCAAAGGTACCTCTAATTTTGGGAAGCCTCCAAATATTAGGTGCCGTAATATTATAAGCTATAGACAAAAGGGATCCAGAATTTTGAGAACAACGCAAATAGAGATTTCACGCTGAATCATGGTTCCTTTGTGTGGACGCCGTGGTTCTTATTCAGATTGCAGGCTAGGGCTGGAGTAAGTCCAGGAGTGTGCATTTAGTTTTTCAGAAACGCCCAGCCGAGCAAGCTGGGAAGGAATAGGGGAAGTGGTGCCTTAAGACAGGCCACAGCTTGCAGACGTTCGCCTGCAACCCTACATGGGGTGGGTGGTCTGAATTGGGCCCCAATGTTGACCTCACATTCATGAACCCAGGCGTAACTGCAAAATCCAAATCTCAGAACATAATTGCAAATCCCCGGTGCTTGCGAACTCCAATCCGTTAACACGCAAAAATTAGCATACTGGCTATAGTACTACTACTGGCCCGTGCTACTGGAGCTCCAGCTGATGGACCTGCAAAACTTTAATTACGGTGGCTGAGGGGGACCACATCAGCCCAAGAAGGTTCTTAATGTGAAGTGGGCATTGAAAGGGCAGAGGAATCGAAGACTGAATTGATCTCCAGATCTGATGTTCCATCACCGCGGTCATAATGAACTCCTTCCTTTCTGTTACCCCGAAATGAGCCTTAAAGCTAACTTCTTACAGGTGCCGAAGGGGCGTGGGGGACTGCATAGGGTTGCCCGTATCTTGGTTTTGTAGGTATCAGTATGAGGATTGGCTGGTTGTTGAAATCGAGCTCCAGTTGTACTTCACTGTAAGATGTGTTCCCCGTCATATTGCACCCCGCCATCCCATGGGCATTAAGTACGTCCTTCAGTATACTTGAGAGACTAGGTGTATTTGGTTCTGGTGGGCTGGGGGCCTGACCGTTTAGGGGGGATGGGGCTGGTAATTTTTCTGCTACGATAGGGATTTCAACAGCAGCCTCAGTTTTGAAAAGCCGCGCACTTACAAAGCATTCTGTATCCCATGCGGCAAGGTTGCAAGGTCCAGTGCATCACACGGATCCAAAATTTCTTTTAGAACAACTTGCTACATTACAAACACAACCAATGAGATCTTTCCCTGAAGCACGATGTAACTTGCTACCTTCCTTCGAGGTGGACCCTAAACTCCAAACCAAACCTGGGCAAAGCTCCTGATGGCCACGCGCTTACACTCAATTAGGAATGATTGTTGCCTGCATGTCAACCATCTGGTTGTCCATGATGGAGGCCAGAATTACCGCGCCGAGAGCAACGGCCTGTCATGCACAAGTAGTAAGCAAGGCCTATCTCCCAAAGATGCGACTGCATCACCAACGACCGTAGTACCAGCAGTCATAGCATCAAAGCACATGGCTGAACATAACATGAGCTTAAGGCACATCTGGCCGTTCCAGGATGCAGTGTGTGCATGACGGATGCTTTCACTTCAGGCGAGCGCCTGACCCTTCTAATGCCAAATCTGAACCCTCAGAGTGAGCAAAAACTCAAAGAAATCCCGCCGTCTCTGGATCGATGACAGCGCTGTTTGGCTGCACGCCAGTGCATAACATCAGCATTTCGCGAACTGCAGGAGTCCTGGGGTGTTGAATATGCAAGTTCAAAACTGCTCCGTGGGAAGCAATTCCCTGATCTGTCAGATTATCACTGGAATGATCACAAAGCAGTGTGACTGGCGCTATCAGCAGGCCCAGTCCATGTAGCTGCGCCAATGAGAAGAATTTCGTCCACCTTGATCTCGTCTCGATCCTGGCAAGAGCCGCGCAACGCCTATGTAGCTTAAGTACTGCTTGCAGCATCTTGCAATAAGCCTGAAAGAGCTAAGAGGTACCCGAAACCCTGAACCACGAGTCCATAGGCAGGTAAAGCCGAAACAGGGAATAATGGTTATATAAGGATTATACTCACTTATCCCCTACTAAGAACAAGGGAGCTGATGGTGCTAGTCTGCCACTACCACCCCTAGCTTCTTCCCAGCCCCTCACCGCCCACAAGATTTACCGAGGGTATAATGCAACCATCAGAAATCCATCCTCCGGGACTGTGAGGAACTATCACAGTACCTGTGAGCAACATCCAAGCTAAAGCGCTGCCAGCAGGAGGTGGGTCCTCTATGTCGGTGGACTTGTGTTTGGCCCTGAGTGAGCGGCTCTTTCTTTGAAGGTCCTTTTGGCGAGGGCTGTGGAGCTTGAGTGCCAGAAGGGCAGTTTGGATGTGACGGACAACACACGCACAGTAGCAAATAGTATCTAACAGCATTCAGTAGAAAATGTTCACACTTTTGGTAGCAATAAAAACGAGCACACAAGAAGTCAAGACGATAAATGCTTGAACCGTTGCAGTAGCAAGAACACACGACAACAGGGTGATTGCACTGCGCAAGCCGACACACAGGACAAGATTGCAATGCAGTGGTATGCGGGTCCTTCTCACTCATCTTCCTGGTGCGGGCGATGTACGAAGCAAGGAGGTTTCAGACTTTGATTCAAGACACCCCTTCAAAGCAGATTGAATCGTACACTTCTCAGAGCTCAATCTGGATTTCGACCCTGACTTCTGCAGGCTTGCTACGCTTGCTATTGCCGAACTCGCTGCTTTGAGCCCTGTCGTAAATTTGACCTGGTGATTGAATGCGTGCCATCGGTACAATCCTTGTTTCGAATGCGGACTGCACTACTTGGTCTGGTTTGATGGCAACCCTGCAAGAAGATTTCCAAGTCTGACATTGTTAATCCGGCGTGCATGAGGCATCAAAGAAGGTCACGACAAATGAACATTGTTGGCTCTACTCAATTTCTCCCCACCCCCAAATATTTAATAGCCCCCGCCGCCCTAATGCTAATTCTTGCCCCTATGGTAGTCTATAATATACAGAGAATATTTAGCATCAGGTGGGTTGGGAGGTGTCAATCTCAGGAGGAGGGGACCTCAATCCAAAGCTTGCTGCAGGCTCATGAAATTAGGGTGCATGATCTACTTTATCAAAAACATGCTGTGAGTTCAGATGCGCGCGGTCCCTGTCCAGAAAGGACAAGTACAATATAGTAGTTTCCATTTTCCTTTCCAGTGATACTGGTAAACAAGGTGGGAACGCAGTGCAATATGGGACTTCCCAACAACTGGGACCCTTTGATATGAGCCGAAACGCTATCATCCTTAGAGCAGGAACACCCCCAAACAGGGACACCCCCAGTCTTGTGGTAATGGTCCCCATCTAGGGGAGTGACTGTGCACATTACATTGAGAACACCCTAACGTCCCCAAACCAACCCCAAACCATGAACCCAGAGGTGTTCTTTTTTTTCCAAACGTTGGCTCCACTCGGGGGGTTCCTCTAGTAAACATAATGTGAGGACGCTCCACACAAGGGTACGTTTTTCAAAACAAAATGTGGGGACGCTCCACGCGAGAGCTCGCTTTTTCGATTTTGTGGCTCATCTATTTCGGGGGCGAGCACGCTCATCCTTGTGACTGTTGACACTTTTGACACGCCAACAAGATTTGAGAGCTCGAAAACGATGACAATTACGAGGATGG